AGTCCCAACTCTTTGATAAGTGAAGAAGGGGGAGCCAGCTGGTGGGGAAGAAACATCCTCCCAAGCAGTTTCAGACAAGCACTCCAGCAGGAACTAACACGAGCTATTGTGTCTGGGCACTAACAGCTCTGAAGTACTGCACACAGCTGCCTACCTACATGAGCAGGCTATCCAACTAAAAGCTAATTTAACTAAGGATTGCTCAAGATAATTAGTTACCCTATACATAAATGTGAACATTAAGCACATCTATGTTTATCTACATCACCTATAGGAAGACTACCTTTACTTGTAAGTCATCTCATACTTACTAAATGGCTTTTTTTTTTTATCCCCTATGGCTGTCTTGCCTCTAGTGACCATCATCTCCTTCCACACCAGCCCACCCCTCAAGAAACCTGTAATACAGTACTGTGTAGAGCCTTTTAGTATTTCGTGTTGCACAGCAACCTGAAACGAAGTCCAACCAGCTCACAAATTAGTGCTGAAGGCTTCTTACAAGATGGCTCTAACTCTGTAACTCTTGTTTTATTAGTGGGTTATCCTGTGCTGTTAAAAGCTGTAGTAAACCTGTGACAGAGCAGAGAAAGTCAAGTAGTTGCAAAGTTCCTCTACAGAGTTTCTTTGGTAGAAAGGTATTTCAGGTAGGCTTGGAGAACTCTTATTACTAGGTACTCTGGGATGAGTATTTGCTCACTGAAGGGTAAAATATAGTTACAATAGGAAGAAAGGTATGTCTTTTGTTTGCTTTTTAATTACTCCAAGATGAAATACAGTATGTCACATTCAAAAGTGTTTGCTGACGTCATGTTGTTGAAGATGGTCAGATTAAGTTGTGCTCCCACTGCAGTTACCTTTCCTATTCAGATACTCAAGACAGCCAGTTTGACACGTTGTTATTGGAAAAAATTATATTTTGGAAGAACTCACTACAGAAGGTGACAGAATTCCAAAAATCAAATTACATGAAAATATACATCGCCATTTTCTTTGTACATTAGGTGAGGAAAACTCTGAAGTAGAAGGCAAAGAATATAAAGCGCCACAGAAGAGAGAAAAAGGGAAAAGGAGGGAAACTATTTTTGATACCAAACCCAGAAGTTAGTCATTTGAAAGCCTACAGATGTGCATGCTTGAACTCAACCTGGAGAAAAAACAAGCCTCCCACACGCACCCCCTGCCCCACAAACAGGCAATGAAAAAGGCAAAAAAGAAGAATTCCCCCATAAAAAGCAGCTCATTCCTATCTTGGACTAACTTAGTCAACTGAACTTCCAAATGAAAGCGCTCAAGTGCCTTGGAAGTTAAAAATCCAGCAGGCTGTTCAAGGGTGCTCCACGGCCAGTTTATTGCTATACCCAATTCAAGAAGTATGTGCAATTGGGTTTCAAAAAGGGGTGGGAAGGGGGAAAAAAAGCACCTTTGAGACTACAAAGGTCATCATGAAGATGACACGAATAATTGATAGCAAATATTTTCAGGGTTTAATTCAGACAATTCTCCGTTCTGATGGGGGGGGAAATAAAAGTGAGCACATTTCCAAAAACAAAACCAAAAAAAGAGATACTAAACTTGAATAAGCAAGAGATTTTAATTACGCCTCAGTGGGTCAAAGGAAAATTAAAGTGGGGGAGGAAAAAACAAACAAAAAACCAACACAAAACCCCAACTTTGTCCTAATTGGTTTTAGTTTGACATGCTTCACAAGGTGGTGTTGGTTTGTTTTTTAAACTGAGAGGAAACAATGAATAGGGAGAGAAAAACCTGCTAAAATCTTTAGAATTTACACGAATCTATTCCTAACTACAGACAGCATTATTTGGTACAATGTGTATTTGTGGATGTACATGAACAGTATATATATTATCCGGATCATGTTGTGCTATGTACACATCTTTACAATTCTTCCTGAAGGTTAAAGCAGTTCATTAGATTTCAAAATGCGTAATCATCTTGTGTTGGCACTTGTTAGGCTCTTGTCAGCATTGATAACTGGCATGTTTTATTGCAGCCCAGTTCCAGCCAGTGTTTGCCAACTTGTAACAACAGAAGTCCAGCAATAGGTGGGTAGAGTGCAGGAAAAAAAACAGTGCCATGTTTCTCAATTGGAGACCTACAAAGAAATCACAGGTATTAAAACAAAACCCCTCATCACCCTCAATTATCTTAAAGATGTTTCATAGTGTTTCAGGCTCAAGGAAGATAATTACTCCTTGTTCAAGAACTTTACATACCTCTAAGGAGAAGATGCATAAATCCATAATCACCTGTGAAAGTCTCGAGTTAGTTCAGCATACTGTATATCCATGCTAAACTACCAGACTTTCAAGCTCCTCTTACTGGTGTTGCTTGTCAAACACAGTGTGTAAACACTTGATTATTCCCACATGGGGCCAAACATTTGTAGATTTACCATTGAAACTTCTGTGCATCACTTACCGGGAATGATGGATGCTGCTTCAACAGCAGAGTGCTGTACAAAATGGCATAGCAGTGCTTTATTAAGCAGTTAACATCACCACTACCAAGTCAGACTATACTGGTGTGAAACCAGCTATACAGCCCCTTGTCATCCAATTCATTGCCCATCACTTAGAAGGAGTCACCAGGACTTAGAAAAGCTTTTGCCTTCCAAAAAAGCAACACAGCCGATTACTTCAGTATTTGTCATGAGCATTGTTTCACCATGGCCAAGTTTAACATGGCAACAGAGCTGAGGTCAGTTGAGGATACGCTGGAGCATTACTCACAGTTACTCCCTTTCTCCAAGACAGGAAAAAAACAACCCCATCAGCCACATCAACAATTCTTACACTCTAGTTACAAGCAGCTGTACAAGACACTCCGTTCTTTTGCTTAGTCTTTTGAGCAATATTAAGCATTTTTCATGCTCTCTCTACACTGGAGAAATCTCTGTTCAATCACAGTGTTGCTGCAGAGAAGAGATACTGCAGTACTAGTCTGTCACAGATGGAGCCTTCCCCAACCCCCACAATTCTTACAAAAGCACAAGAAAGGAAATATCTTCTGTACAACCCTGGTGAAGAAACACTCACTAGCAGAAGCATTTAGTAAGCTGTTCTAGTTGTTCAGACAGCACAAACCCTTTAAAATACATGCAATGCCATCCCCCAGGTCTGTATGTTGAAGCTAACTAGAACACACAGTTTGGGGCTTCTCCAGCCAAATGGGTCAGCATAGTTTATCTGCCAACCCAACCTTTAAGAAAAAGGCAGCTTCAACATGAGCTCTGTTTTACTTGGAAAAACAGGAGCGGGAATTATTAGCTACTTGAGGAAGTTTTTCCTTGGCATACCAAGGTTAAAGTGACCAAAGGCCAGGTATTTTAAGGGCCATGTTCTAATATGGAGCTTTCTACAAGAGCTTATTGTAAAGAAAAAGGTCCCATTAACATTAGGATGCGATTGCTCAAATAAGTATCCTGATTCAGAAGCTCATTTTTAACAGGGTGGCATAAAATACAGCTCTCAGTCATAACTCTCACGTCAGCTCTCAGGTTAAAACTTGTCCAGGCTCTCAGATATGCCACAGTTCAGTTTCAAGCATAATACAGCTGTTTTTCTGAAGCTATTTCTACACCTTCCTCAATAGAGCAACTTTTTTGGGCTGCTGAAAAGAACATTGACTTTCTTGATATTACTGATGGGTAAATACCTCACCTTGATCCCTTCTGATATGCTAGTAGACTTTCTATTAAAATTCCCAGATACCCAAAGCAATCCTTTGTGAATGGTTCCTAACAACCTCAACAAAGTCTTGATTTAAAACCTACCATGCGACATGCCACCAACATCTGCAGACACTCCACAGATTTGTATATGACCTTGAGATAGCAAGACAGGATGCTTCTAAGATTCAAACAAGTGTTCTTCACAATAACGAGCATGACAGAATGATTAGTCCCTTCTATTACAGCTCCAGTAATCCCTAAGCACTATTAATAAAGCAGGATGAATACTGATAAAGAGAATTTCAACTTGTGAACAGCATAAATGCAATAGTACTAAAGAGGTTCCCCAATCGCAGCAGAAGGGGCTGTTCCTGCACTTGAAATTTCTTTTAGTCTTTAGTATCACATACAGCCAAAGAACTCCACTGAGACCATGTGACTGAGAAGTTTGGGGTTTTTTTGCCTTTGAAGGGAATAAAAAAATTAGTTCAGCAACACTTAGGCAGGAAATCCTCAACTCAAGTAACTGACTTGTCTTTGAAATGTTACTTACCCTGAAAAAGTGAAGCTACTAGCTGCTGAATAAGTGTCACTCAAAAGCAGTTTCTTGGCTTTTTCTTACACAGCGGGCAACTTTTCTTTTAAATTCTCCATTTCTGTCTTCTCTCCATTCTTTCTGCAATTGAACAGACAGCTTTCAGTTGTCAGGCCTGTAACAATGCACAAGTTCCAGCAAAAGGCTTAGGTAAACCTAAATTTGCTTACAATCGGAGACAGTCACTGCAAACCTGTGTCATTCAGGATGTTTGAAAGCTTGCTCTGGGTTTCTGTGCAAGCTCCCCACAGAAGAGCAAACAGCCCTTCCCCCTGGTATTTTAGGCATTCTCCAAGGCTAACCTGGTGGCTACCAGTATTTCACAATGTCTAGGCTGAGATCTATTTACTTCAGCCCGCAAGTAGCAGCAAACTTAACCTGCAGACCACAAGCTATTGTTATGGGTTAGATAAAGTGTCTTTAATTGCAGTGATGAAAGAAGGTACATGGCTACTGTGAAGCCAGGAGTTACACTGAGATTAAGACAGGTTCAACTCCCTCTCAATCTAGCCAGACACTCCAGAAATACGGAAGTCACAGTATTCAGAAGAGGCACAGCAGTGTCCTTAGAAAGGAAACACCTCCTAGATACGGCTGTGAGATACCAGCTGCATGGGAAAAACCTGAATAGAATTCTCAGCACACCTCTGGGGATGCTCTCTGTGACAGGTATCTGATTTCAGAACTGCACAGATGAAGAACAAAGATAGAGATGAACAGGAAGACAGGCAAGAGGTAAGTCTGAACCCAGAGACGTGCACACTACAGGATCATGAAAACCCACAGGGAAAAGTGCAGCCAGTTTTCAGGTTTTTGGGCCAGCCTCATGACAAGCTCAGATGAAAGCACAGGAGCATCATACAATGTGACTAAGGCTGACGTGTTGGGTACTGCCTTGCAGTTAGGCAAGAAGTGGTGAGAAAACACAAAGAACCCCTTATTTTATTTAGTAAGTTCTACAGTTCTTAGTTTTGGACATAAACAATATATTCTTACTGCAGGGGTGAGCAAAGGGCTCCCCACTGTTTTACCTGAAGCAACCTAGCACACAACAGCTTTTCACCCCCTACTCGGAGGGAAGGTTGTAGCACATCTGAGCGAGAGAATTGGGATAACTGACACATCCTGACACACCCCCAAGCTCACGTAGCCAGTCAGCACGTTGGAAAGCCCAGCATGTCTTATCTTCCCAGTGAAAGCACAAATAAGGACACCGATTAATTTGTTCTTTTTTCAGCAATTCATACAGCAAGCATTTTGTTCCTTGGATTGGGACATGGGGCAGCTTACACAACATGGCTTAAGGCCAAGAAAAGCATTGAATTTGTGCCTTCCTAGCTTCACATTCTTAGGTTTTGTTCCCATGTCTTGTATTTGTAGTTCTATGAAGCAAGTGTTCAGAATTGAACAGCAAAGTTCCTGATTTGACAGCAATCTCTCCAAAAACTCTGATTTTACATCATGAACTGTTCTATTTGCTTCTCAATATTTATTTATTCAGGCTCCTATCCCTCATTTTTCTCCCACTCCAAGAGACAGTATGCCAAGATGTACAGTTCATTTTTCCAGGAATGTGCCCTTCTCCTATAATGCAGTGAACTACCTGTAACACCTTAATCTCTAGACTCACCTAAAACCAGACATTAATGAAAGCAGGCAAAGTATCTTTTAGTAACTGCCAAATACTGTTGCTGCAGTAAACTTGTGCTTAGTAAACCAAGTACGAGACGTCTTGATAGCAGCTCAGAATTCTTCATTACCCTGTTGAGTATGTTCTGGTTAATATAGAGGAGGCAACCTACAACCCAGCAGGAGATGCTAAGCTGCTCAAGCAGTATATTGAGTTCCAAAGTTGCTTGGAACATCTAATACCACAGTCAGAAAAAATAGTTCCTAGCATCCAAAATGATGCTTCAGCACTGTCCTCACCGTCTGGTTTGGATTTAAGTTTTTGTTCTTTCAAGCTGGGCTAGAAAATGCTGTGTTTAAAAGCAAACCTTTACCCTAAGGTTTAGGTACACAAATGCAGAGTTTTCCATCTAACATCTGTGAGGCAAAACCCCTCACTCCTGAAGTAGCAGACAGAATGGGGCACAAAAAAAGCCAGCTTGTGATACTAGGAAGGTGACAGGCATAGCTAAAAGTATAAGCTTTCTCCAGCCTTAGGTCAGATACATTCAAAATACATGAGCTTGTAAACTGAGGAATTCTAATTGTACTTTTAGCATTTCATTAATAACTTGCTCACTCCAGTGCTCTCGGGTTTGGCTACAGAAAAAGTCCATGTGTCCTTGAGTATTTGTTTCCACCAGTAACATGACACAAGAAGGAGAGATCCAACTCTCAGAAGAATGTTAGGTCAGGGAGTTCTTCACTGCAACTTTGTGTTTGTTCCTGGTTTTCTTCACACTAAGTGAGGAAAACTCTTACTCCTCTCTTTTGTGAGAGGACAGCACGTATTACTTGCTGCTGAAGTGCAATTCAAGAGCAGTTCCAAGGAAAGTATGTTGGTGTATCACAGATGAATGGGGCCTGAATCCTGTTCCCTTACTTCCCCCCAAGAGCCAAGAATTTTTTCCCTCCCCACCACAAATATTTACTAGTCTAATTGCTATTCTGGTATAAATGCAGCTCTTCCAGAGCACAGATAGCTGTGTGTATACAGCACTGCAGAACAGGCCATGCTCCAGAAGCACTATATTGCATCTCACAGTAGAATCCTTACTGCAGATTCACCCTGGTCTTCCACTATAAATTCCTCCTCCCTTTTCAGCCAACCCTTCTAGTCTGGGATAAAACTTCCTGAAGATCTGAAAGCCAGATGCCTGGGGAGGCTTTTCAAGTACATTCTCAAATCACACACGTATACAGTCAATCCTGCTGCTTTAACCCAGGAAGACTGCTGTAGAGAGGTGGATGCAAAAAGTGGTAACAATTATACTGAGGGACCCCACCACATTTGCTCCTTCCATTTAAATAAGTAATCTGTTAACATGTTATATCATTTCCAAAACAAAATTTTTGGTGCATTATACAAATAACATGTTAAGAAACAAAAAAGGTTCCAGAACATGTTGACTTCTACCCCTAAACTTAATGGCAGATGCCAGAGCTATGTGTAATACAAATCCCCAAGATTTTATAGCTAGCTTCCTTGAATTTAAGACTGAAGGAGCTGAAGTTTATCCATTAAGCATCTCTGTGCACAAGTTACTTACTATAAATAAACGTATGACTGCATAAGAGAAAAACTACTGCCTATGAAGTATGACAACATCTTTCCTTTGCAATCTCCAAGATATTTCCCAGGTCTGACTAGTAATTGTCTTTCACAACATGACTGCTTTTCCCAACAAAAAGGTAGCCTTAACATGTGATAAGAGGTTCTTCCAGAAGTTACTGTACTGTTTGTCCAGCTAGAAGCAGAACTCCATTGCAAGTTTAGGTTTCTACACTGAAAACAATTGGCAGATCAAGGAAAATCTTACCGCTGCATCAACATTAGCAGGAGAATCACCATTGGGATCTGCCAGCATAGAAATAACACTAATCATTATAGTTTCCACTGTGTGAATGGGAAGCCAGCGTTCCTCAGGTTTTTCATAGCCATATTTGTCTTCTCCAGGCTCATGAAGAATTGAAATGCAGACATCACCATTCTTGTCAACTACAAAACAGAACAAGGCATATTTCAGTAATGAACACCACACTGGCATTTCTTCAGGACAGTTATGGAACTGTTAATCTTCACTCCAGCTTGTCTGGAAACATGTTAGTGAAGACACTTTATGAGAAAGGAAAGTCATTAACTATTACAGAACTCAGTCTGTAACAAACACGGTTTGGTGGAAGTCTGTTATTACACCTGGACTTCTTCATGGGGAAGAACAACTTAATTTTAACATCATGCTGTGACTTTCAAGACTATTTAGACAGGCTTCCACTAAAGCTTCTTCTGTTAAGTTCAGCAAACTAGAGAGGGACTTTTTTTTCCCCACAGCAACAGCATCAGCTGGATATTACTGCAGTGTACTGGAATATGGTTTAAGCTGCTGGAATTAGAAACTGCCTACAAGTATCCTGATATTTCCAGAACTGAAACTAGCAGAACATCAAAATATTACTCCTCTCCCTTATGATGGGAGCACTGTGCTGGACTCCTCCCAGCTTTCAACATAAGCAGCTTCAATAATGACTTTAGGAAGTGAAGGATATTCTTCCTCCCCAGTAAAAAAAAATTTCCTCCATTTTATTTTACCTTCCCATCTATGTCCAGCAGCCTGTAAGTGAAAGAAGCATTAGGAAGAATCTTCTTTGGAGGGACTAAAAGATGCTGTTACTTCCTTTCATGCTTCACTGGAGGAGGACAACCTTGGGCATTCTATACTGAACTGCCAAGTTAGTCACACTAAGCTGAAATATTTGAAGGTATAACAAAAGAGGCAGCTATAGAAGACAGATTTCTCCTCAGACCAGGAGTCTGCACTTAGGAAAAACACACCAACCCTGAACAGTTACCAAGAATGCAAGAAGCTACTGAAAGGAGCTTCTGAAAATACTTGAGGAGCAGCCTCTTGGAGAAGCACTATTAAAAACCCTGTCATGGTTATTACTTCTTTATGAAGTGACGATGATGATGGCAAAGTAAATGCAGTTTCATATTTCCAACATGAACAGAAATGTATCCATTTGTCTTCATCATATTTAAGTTCTTAATTGCAAAAAAGGAATTGAAACTTTGACATTTCTTACCATTCGGATGCCAGATTTCCGTGATGAATTTCATTTTTGGCGGCCTCAGTGGATAGTCTTTTGGAAAAGTAAGATGAGCCTTGAAAACACCACCTTCACTGGGGAATCAAAAATATCTTAGTAGAGTTTCTTGTAAGCTTAAGCTGAAGATTGGAACTTAGTGATGTATCAAAAGCTCCAAGTTTACCCCTCACACAGCTTAACATCATGTCGGTAATTAACAGTACCAACAGTGCCATATGCAATGCAGAGAGTTTCTAGATTAAGAAGAAACTTCCATAAGATACTGCCAGTTCCCCAACACTGTGTCTTTTTTTAGAACTGGGATGATGTTCCAGAGGGGAAAAAGAAAAAAAAAAAAAAATCACCAAAAAGAAAATTAAAAACTGCCAAGGAATTCACCATCTGGAATTACAATGTACAGTATATGCATTAACAGCAAAAAAAAATACTGCCAGTAACTCCCCTTCTCAAGTACAGCCCAGCAGATACCTGTTTATTTTCCTCCTTTACACACCTCAGTCCTAATTCCTTGATGTCAGTCTGCAGCAGTGAGCCTCAGTGACAAGTGACAGAAAGCTTTAGAGTTGTGTCTACAGCATTGCTTTGTAAAGACTTCAATGCTACCTTGTCAACACTAAGGTAAAGGGACTCAGACATGACAGTGAAGTGCTCTGCATGAGTTACCCACTAAGCTGGAAAACAATACTTAACAGGAGACATCCAGTTTTTATGTGGAGTTACAGGCCCATATTTAACTAAGGCAGCAGTTTGGTTTATTTTAAATAGCTACATTTCAATACCCGGAACAGCCCCTTTTGAAAAATGTGAAGGGCTAACATTCCATGGGAAGCTTTGCAAATGGAACACTTGCCTAATGGAAGTACTGTAACATTTGCCCCGTTACCATCAGTGAAGGTTCTAACAAAATTTGAAATTGCAAAGGCTGAAATGACAAAAACTAGAATATAACCTCCAAAGAGGGTGGCACAAGATCTGCAACAAGACCATCTACTCTTCAGTAGCCACACAGATAAAAGAATTGGTGTAGGAAAGACAAAGCTGTTCAGTGCAGTTTTTCCCCCCTGTATTTGTAAAGGAGCCAGTATCCGAAGGCCAGAGGCTACTGAGGAAACAACACATTTTACCACCACTAACCAAAGATATGCAATTCTAGCAAGTGTCTCAAAAAAACCCCAAACCGCCCAAACCCAAAAACCAGTAGATCTAAATGACTTGGCTCTTAAAATAAATCTGCTGAGGGGATCTAAACCTACACCATTCATTTTCCACATGTTTTAGAAAAGGCAGGCAGTCTCCACAGAAACTTTAATCCTGGGAAGGGTAAGAATTCCATAAACAGTCACTATTCTAATATTCATACTAGTCAAGACAAAGGAGAGTTAAATTACATTTGCTGATAGCCCCAAACCAGTTAGGTTTCTTTCAAAGTGAAATAGTTCTTCTTTCCCTTTTCAAAGCAGCAGATCCTACAGCTACTGAGCTGCACTGGCATCCCTATTGCCCCTCATCGTCTACACATAAATAGAGCTCTTCAATCAAATCCACATTAGAAACCAGTTCATGAAGTACAGCTGTTAACTGACATTTGTGCACTATTCCTGATCAAGGGGTCTCTGTCAGTAGAGTCTATAAAGTCTTTTTAGGTAAACTCAGAATAAATCAAGTGGGATCAGGAATGAGACTGAAGTTTGAGAACTCTGAACCACCTGATTATGTTCAATTATGTCCTATTATATGTACTTCTGTCATCATAAAACAGACCAGGAATGAGGATGCTGTATAATACTACCTTGAAATTCAGCAACTATGGAGTGGAACAGAAGAGAGCTTCTTATCTAAAAAGCCTCAAAACAAATTCAGCACCTTATTAAATGGGAAAAAAATTGCTATTGCAATTTTTAACATATAAGAAGTTCAGTTAGAAGCAGTATTTCTTTACTGACACTATTTAGAAAACGGCCATGAGAATATAATGGAGCCACCACAAGACTGTTCAAAAGAGGTCAACAGAAGTTGAAGAATTCATCTCAGGCAAGACTTGAGAGTTATAATGTAGTGAGCATGACGAGAAGCAAAGCAATTCAATTACTGTGTTTAAGTACTTCAGAAGTCTGCAGACAGAGGTATACAACAACTTCATGTTGGAACTCAAACTGACCTCAAGTAAATGCCACTAGGCTTTCTGTATCAGTAATTTACCACTGGAACAGCGTAATGAAGGAGGACAGAAGTTCATCTTCAAGAGCTACACTTTCAACTGACCTCTTCTGGGCATAGAACTTTTTCCCAGGAGCTAGAGTAGATGATCATATATAATCTCTATGAGAAGGAAATTGTTCTCTCAATTAGCTAAGTTTTTTGTTTGGGGCAGGGGGGAAGGTTAAGCCAAACAAAAACCCAAGACACTGCATATGCCAGAGTGCTTCAGGTACTCTGAACTTCTGTACACTTCAGATACAGCAGTGTAAAAACACAGCAAACTTAAGATTTCGTGTTCAAATGTCAATTAAAGAACTCAGTCCTCAGGATAAGGAGAGAAGCTTTTTAAAGCTCACTGTGCAAGGTCTGCTAACAATTCAAATCTGATCAGCACTGGAGTGCTCTAGGTCACATAGGAAAATCTCCTATCTCAAACTGACAGGACTTGAGGCTAATTATATGGTCTGATGCGGTTTCCCCAACTACATCCCTCTTGAGCATTTTCCTGCAATCACCAGCATGAAGTTGGAATGGTTTAGAATTGTACTATCAGCTAAACTGGAGCCTCACAGCAATAACTGAAATTACTGGATTATACCTGCCTTAAATGCGTAAGACAACAGAAGCAGCCTGTAAGAATAGCCTATTCTACCTCATTTCTACACAAGCACAAAGGGATCAGTGTTACCTTTTCCCAGAGGAGCAAAGCAGTTTAGAACTTCTATATAGCAAATGCAGCTATTTACAGGTATTTTACTAGCAACAGAACAGCGTTACCTAACTTATGTCAGTATGAAGATTTAGGTTAACTACTACCCACTTAGACCAAACTAGCACTAGTAAATCCAAGTTCACTTAAGTTTCTGTATAAGTATCAGTACTTACTATAGTGTATCTGGAGGACCAATAATAAGGACTTCCCATCGATAAAGATCATTGTCATCTATTAAGCCCGCTGAAAAGCCTTCCACTGGATTTTTGTTGAGCTCTGTGTAGGAAAAAGAATTTAAGAGTGACTTTAGGTGTCTATGATATGCATTTGCTGGTTTTGATCATGCCTCTACACTTGACCAAAAAAAAAACCCCATGATTTTCAGTGATTTGGCACCTACTGAAGGACTTATGGCCTTGGCGAATATCCTCAGCTCCCTGCCACACACAACAGCATGCTGCCAGAGCAGGGACCCATAGCCTGACTTTAGAGCTATCCAAGTACATCGCGAGCAGAAGGGCCGAAGTGACTCAGAGCTATGGGACGTGGTCTCCTAGATACCAACAGGTGGGGGTGCAAGCCAGAAACCAGATTTCCTTCTAACAGAAAAGCCATAGTGTTCTGTAAGAACCCTGAGAAGCCAGATTAAACTGAAGTCTATCTTGAACTCCAGAAAATGTTAACAGAAAAACCAAAGTCACACTATGTTTTTATTTAAAACTAACATCCTACTTCCCTTTTTTGAGAATGTGAAAGCTTTTGAGACCAGTGCATTCTGGAGGTAATGATTTACTACATTCTGAACTACTAGAAGAGAACACAGAAGATAAACCCCCTGAACAGTGTAACAGCTTATTATTTTATTTCACAGGTTTATCCACTAGTGATGAGCAATACTGGATTCTGAGTTTACAGGCTACTTCATATAGTTACTGCCAGATAGAAGGCCTATCTGGAAATAGCTATGCAGAAGTCAGATCTAGACGTAGGCTCCACTATAGAGTTTCTGTGTTCAGCCTGATCCAGGAAAAAGCATAAGATTCAGAAATAAGCACTTCAAATGAGTACTGCCTAAAACTCCACTATCTAGAATTCTGACAGCTTGGATCAAAACCTAATGTAAATGCTATATTGACGCCAAATTGAAAATCTTGATCCAGCATTTCCAACAGTATATACAAAGTCCTAATGGATCTTGACTATTTAGGATAGTTGAAGGGGAGAAAAAGTGGTTCCTTCAGCTGGTCAGTAATCTCCAGATTAAATTAGGGTTTTTTTCAATTTTGATTTACAATTTCTACTGCACTTATTTTAGATCCTGTTTGACATTGTACAGCCCTCATTATTTTCCACAGTACAGTTAGTCTCCATATTCCCTTGTTGTAAACTCAATAGCTGTATTCTATGTTGATTTCTAGGCATTGCAACAAACTTAAGTTCAGAGTTCCTTATAATGCCCTCAGGTACATGCAGAAGAACTCCGAGTGAGAACCTCATATCTTTATGGTGAAAGGTTACCATTAAGTCCAAACTGATTTGCCCAGTCACTGTTTGCCAGTTAAGGTCTTAACCCTTTTAAGCACAGTCAAAAAATTGCAAGAAGAACCAACTCAAGCCCTTCACAGAAAGTAAGTTCACACACAGAAAATAAAGTGCTCGGCTCAAATGAAGGACCAAGGTCATGAAGAGGTAGACAGCAGGAATGTGAATTCAGACTCAAATTCATCCACAAAGGGATTCAGTGCTAAAATCCCAATAAATGTATTGGAAGGGGTTTTCTTAAAAGCTCCTCAGCAGGGGTTTAGTCAACACATGAGGTCAACCATTCGCTCTCCAAGTTGCAGGACAAAGACTTGCTGTATTGAACCAAATCATGCTTTGTCAAGACAATGCCTGAGGCAAAAGGCATTATCACAGGCTCTTTAAGCAAGATGCAAGCTTCAAAACCAAGAACTTACAGCATGGCCACACCTCACTGAGTAGACCAGTTTTCACCCTCTGGCATCTATGAAACATTGTGGAAACAGCTGCATGAGCTTGAGTAACAGTTCTGTTTAGTTTCAGGTGAAAGGGGCAGAGAGACCAGCCAAGTGTCTCACATGGAGCAAGGACCTCACCGGTCCCTTACGACATCCCTACTACAGACATTCCTCCAGCACCACATATCAAAAGTTACACTACATTAGTAGTTGAATCAAACTCCTTTTTCATGCAGGATTAAAATATTGTATTAATTGTGCAAAAAAGCCATCTCTGTTCAGGACACTTCAGACATCCTGCTAGCTATTTATTAGCATTGTAATACAGAATATCCAGCATTGCTACAGAAGTCAACCAGAAGACTGCAGGTATCAGGTTTGAGTATCTCACCTTAATACTTTCAAACTTGAATTTAAGCCTCCAAAACACAAGTTCCCTCATTTCTGTATTCTACTGGGAGAAAAGGGTTTATGCGGAGCTCTATGCTAACTGAAGCTGCTCACATTTAGCTTCCTTATTGTTTCCCAGTTATCACTTCCCAGTGGTAAGAATGTAAAAAGCCTACCAGAAGTTAAGAGACTGAAAAAAATTCAGCATACTTCTCCCTGTCTAAATATACCATGCTATTTTTGAGTCCAACATACACCGTTTTCTTCTCTGTTTCTCGATCTATGCTATTTCAATTTCCTTTTACATCTGTTTCAGCCTCCAAATAACTTTTTTTATCCTCAAGTCCTTTGAACCATTTTTTATGTATTTGTTCCCACTGAAAGCCAGCTCTTACACTCTGACTCATACCTAAGATCTTGCAGCACTACATTGCAAGAGATCTTGTGAGAAGGAATAAGATTGCTGGATGCCAACTCTTGCAATGCAGACAATCTGTAAACTGTATGAAAGGGACAGCCATTGACAAAAATCTTCTGTTACAGCAGCTATGGAAATCTACTTAGTGGATGTTACCTATAAGGCAAACTATGACATTACTACTTTTAAAGGAGGGTGGCATCAGTCTCTGCCTTGTAGAAGGTTCTCACTTTCCTTCCACAGTAGCAATGCTGAAGCATAGTTCCATTAGCTACTGCTTGCACAAATACTTTAACTTGAGGTAAAACAAGGGATGTAAGATCAGGCACCTTCTCCTCTAGAGGTATGCAGAATTACTATAGGCAAGTTAAAAATGAGCTTTCCATCCAGATTATTTATGCTAAACTTAACATCAGCTAATGGCTAGCTGGCAAACAAAAAAGGAAATCTCAGGGAAGTTTTGCACTGGGACATGACAAACATCATCCTTGGCTGCTTTACCATGGATAGCTAAGAGCTGCTACTCATTAAAACTTGCAAACACTGAAGCCTAGGGTTTGTTTGGGTTTGAGCTTTTCCCCTGGAGATAACCAATGCTGCAGAGAAGTTAACTAGTAGCGTTGCCTCTCTCTTACCTATCTCTTCACAAGTTGAGATTCACACAGCAGTGAAATCCATACACTGAAATCCCAACTGAAGAGGGCTGTCCCCATGGCACTGTGCTCAGCCCTTGAGGTTTGTTGCCCACCACCAAGGGAGCCTCTGGCACGCTGACACTGCGCTCAAGAACACCAGGCAACTGTTGTCTGCGCCTGTCACATACCACCAACCACACCAGTTAACTACTCACAGCCTGAACAGGACATTTCCCAGGCAAACACACAAATGATGGATATGCTTCACAAAGCAAAGGATTCCATTCCCTCCTCCAGGCAGGGAGAGGTGCAACAAGCTCTTGGTACAGATCCTCTCCAAAGCCTCCAAATCCTAGGAAAAGCAGAGAAGTAAGACACCTATAAAGAACTGGATCCCTCCACTTATTTCTTCAACCTGATTTTCTTAGAGATTTCTTGTTTAGCTAAAATATGCTGTACTTTTTAAATGGAAATGAGTATATTAACACATTTCCACCCTGCCCATGCCTAATTAAGTACAATTTACTTGCTACTATTGTATATTACACTCTACGGCTTAGTATTTGCAAATTATTTTCTGTGTTTCTGACAGTTTAATGCAACAGAGATTTTTATTCCCAGAGAAAAACAACAATCTTGCATTCAGTCTAGCAGCAGTTTCAGGTAGAGCCCTCTGCAGCTCAAGCAGAGGCTGACAGCCAAAGCAGTGCAAACCTGGGCAGCTGCCAAGCACCAACTTACTGGGAACAGAATCCTCTGGCTGCTTATAAATTAGACATTCAGTTCCTTTAATCCCAGTCCTGAACCATTACCTGATTTAGGAGGTGAGGAAGACTAAAGGCCCATAATCTAGCAAAGTTGTTTAAGTCCCAAACAGCCTTTAATGTCCAATTCCTACCCTCCTACAGGAGCTGCCAACACAACACAGTGCTCCTTCAGTGGTTTAGCTCTTACTAAAACAGAACTAAGTTACCACTGCTTTAAATTTGAGCCAAGGCAGTACCATAAGCTGTGCTTCCAGATTCAGCGTTTAGTTTACACCAAGCTACTGATGTTCCCACACTCACTGCCTTTATGTAAGCCAAGAGACTTTCACCAATCCAAAAGCAAAACAGTGTCAACAAAAATGACTAAGCAGGAAGAGCCCCATGGCCGCATGGAGCAGCTATGTACGGCATCTCAACTCTTCAGCTTGACGTTTCACCCACCCAGCCACTGCATAGGAACACTTCAGTGTATTTTAAGCTACATTACAGTACAAAGCTTTCAAAAATATAAGCTTCTGTTATTTTTAATAGCAGCCTCTTCAATAAGTTGACACAGTGGTTGAGTTTTGTGCAGCCAGTAGATGGAGTCCAGCACAAAACCAGTGACCAGACAGCCCAAGTCCTAGCTAAGGCTTCTGGAGAAATCATCTAGCCAACTCGCACACAGTTTCCCGAAGCAGTAGGCTGTAGAAGAGCTTTACATTTGCTTGGATTTTTTCATGGTTGCTTTATGAGAGTCTCAGCACTTATCCAGGAGCTTTTAACAACCGCATAAACTGGAATCCCTCATTCCAGACTCTTCTCCTCCATGCCCCAAGCTGTGACTTCCACATAGTTATGATACTTAGCTGAGGTCAGTAATGATTTCCAAGATTTCCCTTTCTGCCTGCACACCCAGCTCTAAGTCTCTGATTCTAGATTAGAGCTGAGATAATGATAAAGTAACATGATATCCCTGTACAGATGTATTCCCAGAGCTCTCCGTATTATCTGCTTCCATCATGTTCTGGCTTGCTCCACAAGCTCATCCAAAAAGTTCAGACAAAACAGAGCACAAGATATGCACACAATCCTGATAGCCACCTTGG